GATTGATGAAAAGATAATGATTCTATTAAATGTCTTTATCATAAAACAGTGATGTGTGGGTAATTATGACAGTAAATAAATAATCATGGGTGGTTGACATGCATATAAATGTTGACATCCATGTATAGACGAAGTAGCTAACCTCGAAATAAATTAAATTTGATACTACCTGCATTATCTGATTTGATTTGATTGATGTGAATGACTGGTATTACACTCTACCACAAATTACCTATAACAGATGCGAAAGAAAGCGACTGCATCGGAAACCGCTCGGCAAACCCGACACGCCTATTGAGTGGTGTAAATACACCAGTCGTTTAGTCCGGAAACCTATGCTGTGTCGTATTCGCTTGCTGGAATGACATGACGTGGTTATATGTTTCTTTTTAAAAACGCGTGTAGGATTTTTGTTGAACTTTTGAACTGTTATTTCTAAGTTTTGGTAATTTGTATATCTTATTTAAAATGGGATGCAAATGTGTTTATTTATAAGGAAAAAAAATATATTTATAGTATAAAAAATTAATTTACTTAACAAAATTTAATTAAAAATGACAAAATAGTTACCTTTCTATTGGTTCTATCGGACTTTTCAACTATATAAATCTTTATTTGTAAACTTTAATACATCAAATATTTTCAATCTAATAAATCATTTAATGATGTAAATAAGAGGAAATTTCTCACATGGGTGGTCAAATTTTATAGTTTTCATTATATGAAACAGCCTCTGAGAAATGTTTTCAACTCAAAATGCCTTTAATTATGTTTGACTACATCATTAAAAAGGGTCTTCAAATACATCAATGTGATATTTGTCTAAAATTTGCAAAAGAATCCGAATCTCTGGATAACTCGAAATTATTTACCCATTTAAAAGCCTTTGATCATGAAAGTGGAAAAATTTGTTCATTTTATTTACAGGCTGGAAAAATTATTTATATTAAATTTTGATGAGTTTTGCACTGAAGAAAACATTCAGAGGCTGTTTGATATAATGAAAACTATAGAATTTGACCACCCATGTGAGAAATTTCCTCTTATTTACATCATTAAATTATTTATTAGGTTGAAAATATTTTATGCATTAAAGTTTACAAAAAATAAAGATTTATATAGTCGAAAAAGTCCGATAGAACCATAGAAATGTAACTATTTTGTCACATCTTTAATTAAATTTTGTTAAATAAATTAATTTTTTATACTATAAATATCTTTTTTTTCCTAATCTCCGACGAGCTGATATAATATGACGAGCAATCTATTAAATTACTGTGAGATTATACAGAAAAGTCCACAGACTTCGAGACATAGGAAAATCAAGTCCATTTAGCGTGTGTCCAAATTTTGACAAGTTTTCAAAAATGACAGTTTTGTTTAGACTGACGCGACATTTAATTTCACCTGACTTCTCGGTGAATGATTTCTTGTTATGGGGGTACATAAAATCTAAAATTTACGGCCATGAAGAAGTTAAAAACTTGGAGCAGTTAAGGCAGAAAATATTTAATGTCTTTGACACTGTCACCTCTGATATGTCATCCAATGTGAGGAGGGGATTTTATGATCGTTTGGGTTATTGTTTAATGCAAGAGGGAAGCACTTTTGAACAATTTTTGTAACTTTTTAAATTTCATTATCCTGTTTTTTTACTGTTTACCCATTACCTACCTTGACAAACATGGGAAAACGAATGTCCTTTTCAGGACCACAAATATTTTGATTGAGAAAATTGGTAACTTTTTTTGGATTAAAAAACAAAAGTTGTTAATATAATACCAATTTAAAAGTGTTTTAGTAGTTTTAATACACACTATGATATAAAATTTATTATTATTATAATGTACATTATTAAACTATTGTTCATTCGAAATGGCATTAAGGCCCAATTGCAACAATGATTTAAATTTTTCTTAAAGATAAGTAGAGCTTAAAATGAGCTGTATTTATATTTACTTTAATATTCACCTTAAATGAGGGAATTTGACTGATACAATTTTTAAATTTGAATTGTTTTTAATGATACTAACAATTTTAGTTCAATTTTTAATAAAATTTATTTAATATTAATAGAAATCCAACGGATATGAAACCTCTTTTAGCGATATATAACATTCTCAAATGAATTACAGGTGCCCTTATTTTCTATGAAAATCACACAGCTTTTTTCATAGTCGCTGCAGTTGCTATAGCTGTAAAAAACTATTTTTTAAGGTGTGAAAATTGCGACACACACTTAATGGACTTGATTTTTCGTATGTCTCGAAGTCTGTGGACCTTTTTGTATGCCTCGATAACATATTGGTGCAGATTATTTTCACCCAAACAAATAATAACCCAAACTATACATTGATGCGGATTGTCTATGAACTCTTTCTGAAGGTCACAGAAACCTGAACGCGTAATTCGGTGTTCTTTCGCATCTGTTGTAGTTAATTTGTGATTCTACGTTCTACACAACTTTTTATAATTAATTATTTTCTTTATATGTCAGATATGATTTGCTTTTGAATATCTACATTAGAATTTCATATTATGGCGATACATTAACTGCAAATAAGTTGAAATGGATTATAAAAAATTCTAGTGCGTAAACTGGGAATCTTAGATGAATTAGGGCGTTGATTGGACGGTATTTGATTCTGTATCTTTTAGTGTAGGATGTAGGGCCACACAGTTAGCGTTTCAAGCTATCCATGCATTTTTAATTTTGAGGCTTTTATTGCGATTTGTGTCCATTCAAAGACAAATAAAATAAGCGACAGGTCTGTACTTTCTTTCAAGATGTTGATGAGGAAGGTCGAAGGGAAATTTTTACTAAGTGAAAATTATAATGTTAAATTAGAGGACAGCGATGATGAATCTCTCTAGGTAAAGGAATTAAAGCGAATAAAGTATCCAAAGGGCGAATACTACATATACACTTTTCTACAAATTACGGCAAATTTTTTGAATATTATTAAATGACAGTTGGAACTTCTGATTTAATACTGAATAAAATTCAGTTGAATAATAGTTCAATATAAAACCTAGCAAAACGACGTATAGATAAGCCTTATATAAACATTTTCGCCAATATATACAAAGAAGCCGAAGCAAGAGTAATGATATACATATATAAAACAACTTTAGAGTTTCCAACTGGCAAAAGAGTACCAGAATTTTCTTTAGTTGAATAAATGGGTTGGTATGCACGCGTCATCTGCCTTTTTTCTGTCATCGTCTGTCGAAATCTTTCCAGAGTTGTAAAACAGTGTATTCTTTGGTATAAACATAGTATACAGAAAAAGTTCCAATTTTGTACCGAACTACATTCTTTATATTTTGCACATTATCATGTATTATCAAATGCATTTTTGTACCCCAGAGTCAAGCTATGTTAAGTCCAAATTAGCAATTTTTTGACCAAAAATGTTAAGTTACTTACTAACACATTATGTTGCATCGTTACGTATTTCCTTCCCATATTCAAATTTAAAGAAAACAGCGTATTTTAAACTATATTAACTCCAACGTTTCTCTTAGAGGCAAAAAAGTTCAGTCAACCCCCATATTTAGCTTCAGGATTTATTTATATATTTTATATCTTAAACGTGGTTAAAATACTTTTGTTTTAAATTTATTTAAATATCGTTAACCGCTCTTAAGAAGAAATGTCTTCATCTATGCAGTGACAAAAATATTACAAAATGTAATCCCTGGCTTTGCTCAAAAAACAACCAAAATGTTTCACTAGCAGATATCACCAGCAAAAGGGTAGAAAAAGTATAAACATTTGCAGAAACTTTTAAAATGGGTATCAAGAATATTCCCCGACTTCTATAAACATAACAGAAGTTTGTTCCTTTAATTTCAATATACGCATTCAGAACGTCAAAACTACTGATTGTTATTTTTAATTAGTTGAAAAAGTTAGCAAACTTTTAACTTTTGCCACTAATTATACTTCAAAACTTCCCAGTAATGTGATGTGGCTTTTGATTATTATCCATCAAGAGAAATTGTGGTTAGAAAGGAGAAGTTTTATGTTTTATCAGCTAATTATTAGGCTTTCTCTATGGATACAACTGATTACCAGTTACAAGCTGTTACTAGGATATTCTAGTAATTCTAATTTTGGTTTAAACATTGTGAATTATTGTAAACTTTTAGGTATAAAGTATAATTGCAACCACTAATGTATTCCACTAATTCTGAAGTTCCAAGCGAAGTTGGAAAAACGAAGATGAAGAAGTGAAAGATATGTAAATATCTATATATGTTGTAATAACAAATAACGTTAAACAAAATAATAAAAAAAAACCTTCTCTACGGATTTACTATAAAAGATATGAATTTAACATGTAAGGTCCCTGGGGGTATTAAGACCTATCATAACTAAACATTCAAATAAAAACCTCAAATAAAACTGAAACGTTGCATTATTATTTTTATTTGAAAAAGTTGTTTTATAAGATCATAAAAGAAAAGAAAACAACAAAATATAAAATAAGTTTTCTTAAAACTAGAGTTGAACTCAAAGTGGTTTTTGGGCCTTATAACCAACAGGGGGGGGGGTAATAAGGCCCTCTTCATTTCTGCGGAAGTAAAATAGCAAAAGGGCACAACTAATTATCGCAATCCAAACAAGTCACTGATTCCTCATCACCTCGAGTAAGTCCCATACACTCATCATGTATCCACGAGAAGCATACTTGGCATTGCCTCATATCTACTACCCTGTCTTCATGGCAGATGACGCAAGACCAATCGTCATCATCTTCAACAATGTTTGTAGGGACTGAGCTGCTGCTAGGTAGGTTTGCAGAAACAGTCTTCCTATGAACTAGTTTGGAGGTCAAACTGGAACCAGGCATCAGTACCTTTGAAGAATGCTCTTGATTTGGAACGGTGCGAAAAATGTTCCGTGTTACTTCTTGTGCATTGTAATTCAATGATTTTTTTCTTTTGGTTTGTTTTTCGGTGGCTGGCTTCATATCAGGAGTTACAAGAATCTCCTAAAAAGTGTTTTTCTTCAAGGGTGTAACGTGCTTAGTTAACTGACGATCATCTGAATCAGAAGAGTCTTCATCGTTGCCTTCGGGTTCATTTTGAGTATGATTCTGCTGCGTCGGAACGCTTGGTCCATAAGCGTGTTCAGGAATGACATTTTTATCAAATGGGTAAATCCCTGTGGTTCTGAATCCATGCGTTATATTAGCCATGGTCATCCATCTACTCCAAACTGGCGTGAAAACTTCGGAAAACCTTTCTTTATTCATCTTCCTATCCGGATATTTATCCCAATACCGTAACAACTCCTCATCCCAATATGTTCGAAAGAGCGAAACACTTTTGTCGAGGGGTTGTAGTTCGTGGGTAGTATTTGACGGAAGACATAATAAATGGATTCCCAATGGCTCGGCAGCATCGACAATGGAAATGTCGAGATGTGACGCGGCACCGTCAAATATCAGTGGAACTGGCAGCTGAATAAAGTTGGAAAAATGATGGAGCCATTCAATAAACAAGCTGGTGGTCATGCTAACTTTTGGAGCCATCCTCACTTGAGATCCCGGTGGTAACCTATCACTAAACGTTGGTTTGATCCGTTGCCCTTTAAATAAAAACATCGGCGGAATGGCATTCCCTAGAGCGTTCGCACAAGTGACGATTGTACAATTTTCGGCGTGCTCTGGAGCAACCGTAAAGAAAAACAACGGTGAAGACGTTTGTTACCTTTTTGGGTAATAACAGTTTGTTGGTGGTGCAAGGTTAGTCTGCATCCCTTTTCATCCATGTTGAATATTTTTACAGGTTGACGTTTCAAGTCGTATTTTTCCAAAACGTTATTTAGTTTTTGAAAATAGTCGCCAACAATAAAAGGATTGAGCTTCGCCGCCCTAGGAGGATTCATCGATTGGGGTTTTCGTTGAGATAAACAAGAATGTCGCTTCATGAAGTCTTTATACCAGTCACGTCCAGCAATTTTTTTTCTGTGTTGAAACGGCTGGTAATACCTTTATTTTCTACGTATTTATATACAGTTCTTCGTAATGATTTGGGGGTCAAAGGAAATCCAATTTCGGAAAATTTAATAATTTTCTGAACTAAATCAGCTTCTTGATCTTCATTCAAGGTAGGCTTTGCTCCCAATTTTCTTTTCACGGCTCCGGTTTTTAAATGAGTGCGACGTGGAATACCACATCTATTTTCCACATATCGTTGCGATCTTCCTTGTCGTAAAAGCAGCAGGGCTTCTTCCATCATCTCATCAGACCAATTGGCCCTGATGCCACGAAATTTTTTACCCATATTCCTCCAAGAAAACAAAAAGAAAACGTACAGTAGGTAAAAAGACCCGTTGAAACTAAGTAAGGGTAATAAGGCTCAACTGATTTTTGTCTGGGCCTTATTTCCCACATAGCAATGAAAACATTTGGGGGTTAGGTTACGTTTACAAAAACACATTATAATTTTGAACAATGGCGTAATAGGTACATTATTGAATAAGCTAAAACTTACCTTTATTGAAATTAACTACCTGACATTTTATTTCTGAAAAATCCGGTCCCCAACTTGAACAAAATTTATAATTTCGACGCGATGAAACTCGTAAGAGAACATTTAATTGCGTCTGCTGAAAACTACTGGATTTGGGTCTACTTCATCGACAAGGATTTTTAAGGTATGTCACATACAAATAAATAGATGTCGCCAAAATACTTTTAAATAAATTATTTTCGTAAATCAAAGCGTGGGCCTTATTACCTGACCGGGTCTTATTACCCAGGGGGACCTTATGCCAAATCACTCTAAACAATTTTGGATATACAAAACCATGTTAAGTCAAAAAAATCAAAAACAGGACGCCAATAGCTAAAATAGCGTTATGTTCCTTATTATGATAACTAAAAATAATTCAAATATCAATAACTTCCCGGATTGAAGTAAAGTGTGTTTTACAACTTAAAAATATCTAAATTAATTTACTAAAACTGCTTTACTGGACAAGTTACTTTCTGGACTTGACATAGTCTGGCTCTGGGGCAGAGATTTATACATATGGTCACTACTGAATATACTACCACAATTTATATAGTGTCGCTTATGTTACAATGTTACGTAAAAGAATATTGACGTGTGCTGTGACGGGCTTTTTTACATTTGATAGAGAAATATGCATACACGATACGTGCCCCGAGTTGACGGGGGCACATTGCCAATAATAACGACGACAACGTTTGTTTATTTGGAATGCTAAATGACGTTAGGAAAACAATAAAAAATGATTTAGAGGCAATTTGGTTGGCGGGCGTGTCGTCGCGAATGCAAAATAGTGCGAATAGCACGGAGCCGCAGACCACACAGCCGTATAATTTCAGTTCTCTTCAATACTTTTAATAAAACACTCGGCAGCGGTATTTGATACTTATTTTATTACCTGTTTTTGTAGTACTATTAAACTATTGGTTGTATTATATATTATATATTAGTATGCATCAGAGGCGAAGCTTCCAATGATGCGGGTGATGCGCCGCATCTCTTAAAAGTATTGTAATACGTTTTTATTTAAAAAAGTTACTGAGATCTCCTATAATAAATTAAAATTCTCAGTAAATTTGTTGAAATAATTAAATTTAATTTCAATTATTTAATGTGTGTATAGGTCGAGCTTTATAGATAACGCCAAGATATTTATAGATAAGACCTACGCTAAAAATAAAAATAACTCGACAGTGCGATGATGCGACTGTCCTCGTTACATCTTGAACGCCAGCGAACGCGAGAAGGGGTCAGGGAACTTTCCGCCTGCGATTGCGTCTCCCGTTCACTGTTTTAGTCAGTGGGTTATGCGGTTTTTTAAACACATCTCGTTCGCGTATAAAATAAAAAATATGGAAATGTATGGGATTGTTGATAGAAACAACCGATCTTTTTTTTCTTTGTCTTTACTTTTGTGCTAAAAAAATTGTTTCGATTTTTCAAAATTTTGACACACCGAGCTCAATTTTACACAATATACCATCACTGGTATGCAACATATTGTGGAGTCTACAACGACCGCCCCCCCCCCCCGGTTTTTACGCTACTTAAATTCGGTCCACTACCTTCCCTCTGTATCCCACCTCGATTCAACAACACACTCCACTAAATACTTTTAATTTTTTTTTTGTAGCATATTCTAACCAATTAGCAGTATGCTAATTAGCAGGGCGCTTAGATGCATACCATTAAAATTCGAAGGTCGTTAAGTAATAAATTAAAAAGCAATGGGAAAACATTATTAAATACAATGCAAATTTTTTCAAGGGTAATTAAATATATAATTTATTAAATGGTTTATAGCATGACTAAAATAAGAAAATGTTATTGATATCGTTGTTTTATTGAAAAACGGCAGTCAAAATCCATAGATGGATAGACAGCGTGTGACAATCGACTGTAATTTGAACAATGATTTGAATATTTCATGTAAATTAAAATACTGAGTTAAAAAAATCTCCTTTTTTTAACTCACACACATTTTAATTTACATTATTTACTACAGTACATGGTTGCCTGACATCATTTGTTCAAGTTTTAGATATCGGTTCTTAATTTTATAATTAGTATACCGAGTGCGTCTCAAAAGTGGCTTACCCCTATAACTTTTTTATTTTATCAGATAAATTTCCCTCAGTCCGACTTAATAAGATCCCTATGCGATTTACTTCGACACATGTAAATAGCGACCCAAAAATAAGAGTTGCCAGCACGGTATATTCTTTTAGCAATCTGAACTGAACCTAGGAATGTTTTTACCGGGAACTGCAACTGTATACATATATTTTGAAAAATATGTAACTATAAAATGTTACAAAATAATTATTTAATGCATTGACAAGCTGATAAATGAGTATAGCATACCATAAATTATGCGTAATTTAAATAATTCCTATACACAACATTTCCCTGAAATAATTTAGTATTACATGTAGATTAATTAGCATAATTAAGAAGTGACCACATAATTGCTTCAGAGGATCATCTGACCGATGACGTGTTGACAGTAATCTTGGATTAAAACTTCGCGGTGTTCTTTGACGCTAAACTAGTAACCAATTACTTATACTGAAATTTATGTTCAAAGTGGTTTTTGTATCGTTAATTAAACTAAGTAGGTACAAAAAATGTAGCCATAAATACCGTTTGATCATAAATAAATATAGTTAATCAGGGTATTAAACAGCGTTTCCTCTTAGGGGACATTGCAGGTCTTTCAATTCCGATTTTTGAAATATTTCAATGGAATGTTTACTATTGGCCAAGAAAATTAATTGCGTAAACTGTCAAATTCTAAATTTAATTTAATGGTCTGATAAATTTAATTATTTAATCTTTAGTATAACACATACGTACTTAATTATGCATAGTTGGTTTGATTATAAATATTTCTTCCTTTTGTGAGATAAATAATTTTAATAAAAAGAAAATAAAAAAAATTGAGTATAATCAGTACCTACTAATAATTCGGGATGGAGGTTGAAAAGTCTACTGTACCTTCATTGAACAGGCAGTTTAAAAATATGTTTGAATCGCCCTGTATCTTGACAAAAATATTTTCTAAATTTGCGTTATCATTGCTCTCACATTACATTAAATATACGTAAAAAAATTGAAATAAAAATCACAAATCAAAAATCTAATATAGAACTTTTTCGGAAGCCTGGGTTACCCTGTAAAATGGATTTGAGTTCCGATAGTGACAGTGATTCTAGTCTGGTGCTTAAATGTCATGTTTATGTACTGGGATTTGTGACGCTGATTTTATATTTTTGCTTCTTGGAAAATTCTTTCTTCTCGTCCGTTAACTCTCGAAAGAGTATGGTAACATCATGTCTCAATTGCTCGGATCGTTGTTCTCCATCCATCTCTATCTTGAAGCCTCTTGCAGGCCGTGACCAATAATTTCTTTGGTTTGGTCCACCCAGCGCGTCGGAGATCTTCCTCTTGGTCGTTTGCCATTAATCTTCCCTTCGATTATGATTTTTTCTAGTCCATCTGTTCTTGTCGAAATGTGCCAGAAGTACCTAAGGTATGACTGGTTTATTTTGGTTGAAAGTCTCGGAAAATAGCACTATATAATTGCTTTGAAAAATGCATTCTTCATAAAAAATTTTGCTTGTATTAAAATGGTTAATCCCGTTTATGGTTGGCTGGTTGAAGTGCGACCGCTTGTCGAACTCCAATTAGCAGAATTGCCGTTTTGATACCACTCACTCTGAGACCCTATCCCTAGGGATGGAAAAGTTGGACTGTTGACTGTTTATAACCATTCGGTGGCATTAAGATAACGGGTCACTTCCGTTGTGCTCTTCCTGGCAACATCTTCAAGATTTACAAAGATGTAACCACCGAGGAAACTGTTGTGGGTCCTATACAAAGCCGGACAGCGGTACAGGAAATTCATAACCGTTTTCCCTTCCTTCGGGTCCTTACAGCTTCTGCAAACTTTGTTAAAAAGGATGTCCATTCTCGCCGCATGTTCGCCAATTGGCCAGTGTCCCGTAAGCCTGGCGATATCCTTACGCGACTTAGTTATGAGCTCTCCCGATTTCTGGCTGTCCTGTAGGTGCTTAAAGTTTTCCAATCCCGTTTCTACTTTTCTAAATTTTCATACTATCTTAGAGAAAATTAGAAAAAACATGAAAATAGAGTTGAACATTTGAAAACGTATAAACGAGATTAACCATTTTAGAACAAGCAAAATTTTTTATGATGAATGCATCCAACAGAGACCAGCTTATCAGTTTTTTCAAGAGTTACGTCTAAAAAATTATATTAAGAAATTATAGTAATCATACACCACTAAGTTATTAAGACTTATTAAGGATTTTTTTTAAATATTTTTTATCATTGATGTGTAATACTAATATGTATACCTATAGCATTTTTGACAATATGATTAATTTATAT